AGAGAGAGAGAGAGAGAGAGAGAGAGAGAGAGAGGTGATGAATGAGAAAGGAAATAAACGGAAGAGACAGTGGAACAAAAGGATAGACCGAGTGTAGTAATGAGCAAAGCCTGAAGATTTGCTATGGAGCAACTGAACTTGCAATGTCTTACGGCATTTACAACGCAATTAGTAAGTATAAGTGCCGAACAATAGAGGTGCTACTACAGAGTTACATACAAAAAAGGAGGAGAGATAGTTAGATGTTTGACAGGAAGGAAAGAACAAATCACACCAGAGCAGCCACCAGCCACGTACGTATCCAAAAATTGTATAAAATGTGCCCACAGTGGTGTTCTCTCCAGTCTGAACAACGTAGATACTCCTAAGATTATGAACTCCTCATGGGAACAAAACGCAATTGTCTGATGAACAGGGTAAGATGCCTAATCAGCACACCCACAAACGCCTGAAAACTGAACTCTGAACAGATCGAAACTGTATGTAACAGGGAGCGTTATCTTATCTTCTTTCTTCTGACAAAAGAGTAGCGGATGTTGGTGAGCGCTCTGGTGTGGTTTGCTTCTTCTTGTCCATGAAAAGTACTATTATATCGCCCTCCTTTTGTTTGTATGTTACTCTCTAGCAACGCAAACAACTTTAATCTTCGCCATTTATATGAACTATTAAAATGTGTTGCAAGAGCCGTAAAATGTTTACTAAAGTAAACCAACCCCCCCCCTCGAAAAGGCAAAAAAAAACCCAACTACAAAACAAGACAAAAATCCAACTCAAAAGTTTTCTTAAATAAAGAGGAGCACAATTTATGTTTCACAACAACATGAAAAAACAAACAAACAAACATAACTAATAATACACTTTTCAAAGACACGAGACATACGTAATGAGCTTGATTTTTCTTTTTTGATAAAATTCGAATGAGTGTAGAATGAAGACATTATTATGTCACCTTTAATTCTCATATGGAAAAGTATGGTGTAAGTAACAATAGGGTAACATAAAAGAGAAGGTCATGAAAAATTCACCAATGTTCAGTTCAATTCTCTCCCTTTTACCAAGTCTACGTTAAGCACTTAGTTCGAGATAAAAGTTTTTCTATGACATCATGAGGCATCAAAGTTCGTTGAGAATTCAGAGGTCTCAGGGGACGATCCTTATATAATTAGATCCAGCCTACTTCACAACACGCAATTTGAACCTTTTGACTTGGACAAAGTAGTGTAGTCTGGTCACCCCATTAGCTGATAGACAATGTTCTGTCTTAGTGAAGGAAAATTCGAGATGGAGAAAGAAGAATACACTCAGCGTACATTTTTGAGCAGGTAAATAAAAATATCTTTGTGGTAGCATGAGTGCACCATTGTTGATAGAGGGAACATGCCCAAGTCTCTCTCTCTCTCTCTCTCTCTCTCTCTCTCTCTGTTTCTCCGTCTCTCCCATTTTTCGCCACAAAAAGACGAAAACAAACGTATGCACACACAGTCATTTACAGAGAAACACATACATGAACATGTCATACATGTACGGTACATTTGCGGTTTTAAGACAATAACAATTGGATGGTTGGCGGGCGCTCTGGTGTTGTTTGCTTCTTCTTTCCAAAATAACACCCGTCATCCCTATCTTTCCACCTCCTTTTTGTGTTTCTTACTCTCTTGTAATACCTCTAATCTTCGGCCCTTTTACGATCCCCGCCTCTTAAATTAATTAACCTATTAGTGTAGATAGGGGCATTAAACCTATACCATTTCACAATTTTTTTCTAGATATATGATCTAATTGACTAACTGTGTTGTAAATGTCGTAAAACTCTCACTAAAACAAAAGACAATGACCGCGTTGACTTTCCGACAAAGATGTGAAGGAACACACATAATGTGACGAACAGCACAGCCAATCGGTGACTGGACCTAAAATTGTAAGAGTGAGTACAGTACATGATTTTACGTCCTGGTCGACGCAATCTAGAGCATTAAATTAAAGAGGCAGGCTGCTTCGACCTTTGTTGTCACGGGCAATTAGGACTGAGGCGGATACAACATTGCAGAGCACGGACGGAGATGTACTCGAGAATCGAGCTCACATCTTTTGCGTGCATGGGCGATGAGTCAAACTGTTACACCACAGACGGTGGTTTACGTTTCTGATTTACTCAAATTAATGGTTCCCCTCTAGCACCTGTCAACCCTATAGCCAGAAAAACGAACCCTCTCCCCCACCACCCCCCCAAAAAACCCCCCAAAAGAACAAAACCCACCAAAAAAACTTGATCCGCAACTGTGTCACCCCCCTCT